CCTTAGTTCCTTAGCACCTTTCTTCTTTGGAATGAGAGCAATAAATGTTGCATTGAAGCTTCTTTCAAAATCTTCTTTGTCATAAAAGTTTTGAAAAGCATTCATGATGTCATATTTCACAATCTCCCAGCATTTGATGAAGAACCCCATAGTAAAACCATCTGGGCCAGGGGCTTTATCTATTGCACATAGCTTCAAGCACCTAAGTACTTCATTCTCCTCAAAGTTACCTTGTAGAGCTTCCTTATCCTCCTCAGTTAAAACAGGACAATTGTCATAGAAGCATGCAGGTCTCCATTGAGTAGTTTCTTTGTACAACTTCTGATAGTAATCAATAATTTCCTCTTCTATTCTAGCTGGCTCCTCTGTTAATTCTCCTTGTATCATTAGTTGGTCAATATTGTTGAATCTTTTATGTGCATTTGCTACTTTGTGAAAAAACTTGGTGTTTCTGTCACCTTCTTTCAACCATAGGGCCCTTGATTTTTGTCTCCATGAGATTTCTTCATTTTTTATCAACTCCTCATACTCCATGAATAGTGCTGCCTTCTTGATAGTTTCTTCCTCTGTTAAAATTCTGTCTTCGAGCACCTCATCCAGTTCTGCCATTTGACTTAACAATTTCTTCCTTTAATATCCCAAATTCCCTGTCTCAGTTCTGCTCCACTCCTTGAGTTTTGATTTGAGAGCTTTTAGTTTACAGGCCAGTATAAAGTCAGGCTTGCCTGAAAAATTGAAAGAACTCCACCATTCTTTGACTTTGTCATTGAAACCAGTTGTTCCTAACCACCAATTTTCAAATTTAAAATAGTTTTTGTTCCTGTTCCAAGTGCCTCCCTGTAGAGCCACTGGAATGTGATCAGATGCTAGTCTTTGCAGTGGAATCTGTTTTATATTACTAAAACTATCATCCCACTCCTCAGAAATCAGGAACCTATCAATTCTGGAAGCCATGTCTTGATTATCCCCTTTAAACCAAGTGAAGCTACTATCTTCTAATCGTAAATCAATTAAGCTCATATCCTCAATGAAATCAGAAAATTCCACCATACCCCTTGTTCTCCTCCTACAATTCCTTTTTTCTGAAATGAATCTGGTGACATTCCTTGAGTCTGTCATTAATGCTTTAAGTATGTTTAAAGATAAAGGCTAAAGACTTTCCTAATATGAGTTGTTGGAATTGTTCATTGACTTTTTATACCGTGTTAGCTATGTAGATACACCCTCAAGGAGGGATGATTTTTAGCAATATTCCTTTTGTATCTTAATTCCTTCCTATCAATCCCAAAAAAGAGAGTAAGATATGACATTCTTTTTCCTTTTGCTCTTGCTAATCAGGGATATTATTTTGGAGGCTGAAACTTCCCGTCCGAGTAATGAGGACTGCAATTCTTGCTCCATATCTGTTTTACACCTGCACGTTCACAAAGTTGTACTATGGTCAAGTTGTGAATATTTACGGGCCCTCTTTCAGTCAGGAATGCAAGAAAGGTATTCCAAATAGGTTGCTTTTGTCACAAAATGAATTCATAGTTGAATAACTCGGTTTACCCCAGAGTTGGGACTTGTTGGATTGCTTATATGATAGGATTTATTGCTGTACAGATACTTAAATGGCTTGATCCACATGGATTTGTGACCTATTATCAATTTAGAAGTGTGTTTTTGTTTTCTATTATGTGCCAGCAATTTAGTGTGGCTCCTGGTATGTTTTTGTTTTCTATTATGTGCAGCAATTGAGTGTGGCTCCTAGTTCTATTATGTGCCAGATGATTCTGTTTTCTCAATTTTAGAAGTATGTTTTTGTTTTCTGAAGAAGAAAAAATAACTTCATTATGGAGTTTATTTCTTTATTTGTTGCTATGTTAGCTTTCTTCCTTTACCTCTCAAATGTGTAGTTGATGCTACATTTTTTGGTTTTGTTTCAGCCATTCCCTCACCATCAAGGTGCCAGTTTGTTGGGACTCCTTGGTTAAGTTAGTCAGCTGGTTCTATTCTGGTGAGTTGCCTAGACCAATATCTGGCTGTCTATGGGATAATCTGGATAAGGAGGAAAAGCTACACGAACTCCAGCCCTATGTAGAACTATGTTCGCTTGCTCAATTCTGGCTCCTAGAAGACTTACATGACGAATGTTTTAGACTGATTGTATCAGTTTTGGATTCCTATCAATATTTGTCTATTAAAATTATACAGATGGCTGCTAATCTCAATCAGTGGAAGCTAGTCGAAGTTGCAGCAGAGTATCTGGCCCCTATGTATCATCATCTACGTAACTCAGGCGAGCTTGATGTATTGGATGAACATCTCATTGAAATTGTCCGTGCCGCCTCAGTTCAGTTTTCTCAAAGAAATGGACACTTACTCTCATTGACATGATGTTTCTGCTCAGATTTTAGATAATACGGCTTCTTGGACACGGAGGGTATACTTTTCAGGATTTGACAAGACTGGTTGAGTTTATGGTGTTCAGTAATAGCTTGAAGGATCTAGGGGCATACTTTATCATCTGTCCACTCAAGGGGTTGCCAGCAAATGGTTTGATACAGTCTGCGAGTCCTTCCCACTCAATCAATCAATAGCATTATGCTGTGTGATCGCGTTGCATCAACTGTATGCTTGTGTCGCAATCAGATCTTTTCTACAAGAAATATACATAGAAGAGTTAACCTTTGTACAGCTTTGTATAGGAAAAGCTTGTTGAGTGGTAGACCTTGTTCAATTTTGCTCAGTAGGGAGCATCATCCTCAAAGGAGTTTTAATTCCATGTGTGCAGAAGCCTAAGCATTCGTGCAAGTCCTCCTTTTGCAATGCCATTTGTTGCTGCCCCTGCTTTTATCGTACAACTTTTGCCGCTATCATATATGGAAGTACACTCTGTGTTGGTTCTTATTCATTTTTGCTCAGCAAGGGTAAGGAACATCTTTCTAAGGGAGTTTTGATTTTGATGCAGACAGAAACCTAATCATTAAGGGGTCGTTTGATACATGGGATAAGGATAATAATCCCAGGATAGATTTTGGGATTAATTTTATCCCATGTTTGGTTTGGGGTATTAGCTAATTCCGGGACAACTTTTACACTAACATGGTGGGATTGGTTATCCCATATAAAAGGTGGGATAACTAATCACAGAATATTCCAACATTGTACCAAACGACCCCTTATGGAATCCTTTTGTTGCTGCCTCTGCTTTGATTCTATATACCAAAGTTCAAACTAAGGAACTCGGCCATGTATGTATAGTGGAAAAATCATTCTGGTTTAGTGCTCTTTTGAGCTGTTTTAGCTCTTATGGTGAGTAAAGGTGTTTTCGTTTTCTTTATAATGTCATCTTTTATTTTACGTGGGAGCAGTGCCTTAGGGTTTGATGACTACTGTGCCTCTTTTGAGGTGAGCCAAATTTTGTTGTGAAATGGCTACCTCAAAGGAATGATGATTCCTTATAATTCAGATCGCATATGGTGCGTTTGGCACAACAGTGTCATTTTTCAGTATTTTATTTTTCTTTTCTTTTTTTGTTAGAAAATCATTTTCTGGTGTTTGCTCATGCTATACTAACTTCATACTACAAGCTCCAACGCTTAAGACATTATTATCAGTCGTTAGGATTCAAAATTTTCATCTTTGTTGATATTATTATTAATCTTAATTGTAGATTTTTTGAAAAATACTTTTCACTCAGTAACCAAACACCAAAAAAAGAAAATTTAAAAGATGTCCGGCAAACATTTTTCTGTGAAATGATTTTTGTCATAGCATAATTATGATTTGTAAAAAACAGCAAGAGTAATGATAGAAATCAATTTTCTGACCTAATATTCATGTTAAATAAATCTGTTAACGGTTTCTTGCATCCAACAAAACAACGTATTTTTTCCGTTTGTGCTCTAATATAATATAAACTAAAACAAGCTCAAACTAATCTTTAATGGTAGTATGTTATACGAATAGTATCACACAGTTGGATGCAAGCTCTTTGATAAACTTTACCATGAAAAGTTGGAAAACGTTTCCCCAAACTTGACTATTAATATCCGTCACAAGCTCGACTATTAATACACGGAAGTCCTCAATAATACATGCCGTAAGTTGTTGCCAAAAGGCATTTGTCAATTACGACATATATTGGTAATTGCAATTTATAAGCTGCATTTGAATTGCAATGTATTTATCGATTGATAATTGCGTTTCATAAGTCACAATCATGAATTGTATTTTGTAAGTTGTTAAAAGTCGCGTTCATCAATTGCGTTTATAAGCCACGTGCTCAAATGCGTTTTGTAAGTAGCAATTTCTGATTACTTTTTATAAGTTGCAACTGCAATTGCGTTTTATAAGTCTCAATTATCAGTTGCGTTTTATAAGTCGCAATGTTGCATTTTAAAAGTCCCGTTAATTACATTTTTATTGGTCCATTTGGTGGATCCTCCCCAAAAAACAAGATCATATTAAGCTGCAACTTCGAGGAAGATAGCATTGAGGCATGCTATTACCTATGTATGGTGACGGGTGTCATGCCAGAGTTAGTCCGAGTGGGCTCAAGCTAAAGTAGAGGAGAGAGTTCGTTTTCTTGTGAATGAGCCCGAATAGGAGCGGACAAGCACTAGATCAGAGCAAGTTTAGCTGGTCCAATAGCGGAAACACCTACTAAGACAAGGCATAGCGGGAATTGAACCAGCATCTCATTAGCTACTCCAGTAAGCATCGCTTTCAGAAGCTCAATTTGTAGGACCGGAGGAACACTCGCAGATGTGCAAACGTTTTGAAAGAGCACAAAGTTCTAACTTGTGCAAGTACGTCAATAGCATTTTATTCGTCATATTTATCAATTGTATTTTATAAATCTCATTTCAATTGCGTTTTATAAGCCACATTTATGAGTAGTGTTTGCCCAATGTGATTTTAGTTTTTCAGTGTCGCACTACTTCCAGTTAAATCCGCTATGGGTCACTTTACCCAATAGCCCACCCGGTCGGCCCATTTTAATTTGGCCCGTTTTATATAGTAGCCATAACCCGAATACCTTGTTTGCCCAAATGTACATCTCACGTCTCTTTCTGTCGTTAGGGTTTATCCCAAGGGTTTGAAGTAATATCAGTAAACTGTAGCTGTGCCAATGGCGAAACCAGGCCGAGCCCGTGCGGCTTCACCGTCAGGCTCGTCTTCTCGTTCTCCGTCGCGGTCTCGTTCTCGCTCGCGCTCTTACTCTTCTCGCTCCTCCAGTTCCCGCTCTCCCTCTCGATCTAGATCTCGCTCCAGATCGTTTTCTTCCTCTTCCTCCAGTGGCAGTTCTCGCAGCCCTAGCCCCCGCCCTCCTCCTTCTCAGCGAAAAAGGTTCTATACTTTATCTAAATACGCAGTTAGTTACATAATTAGCTTTTATAGTATTTTCCACTTAATTTTGCTTTAAGTCTAAAATCCCTTGTTTTACCTGTTTTAACGTGAAATTGGCTGTTTAGAGATTTATATTCTAGTAAAACATGTAATAAACCTCTGTGTTAGACAGTGGCGGATTCAAAATTTTTAGCTCGTGGGTGGTCAACTATTTTTCCTCTAAAGTTGCTATTGAGATTGGTGCTCAGTTAATATATTTATAAGTATACTAGTTTTTCTATCTAAATAATAGTGTTTGGTTCCAAAGTTAATGGGTGCTTGAGCACCCATAACCTTACACATAGATCCGCCATTGGTATTAGATAATTAAAAGAGAAGCTGTAGAGTACTGACTAAAACGGGGCTAAATGGACAGTAAGGATTCATGTAACCACTCTCAACTTTTTTGAATTGAGGTGTAGTGGTTTGCTGTTGTTTGTTAATGTGCACACGGTTACTGGAAATATATTAGATACTCAAGGGTTTATGAGTTTGAAATGTTTTAAGTTTGTCATGCTCTGTTATATGTTATGCTGCCACTTCAATACCCTTTTAAGTGTCCTTGTTATTTTTGTTTATAATTTCGGTAGCATGTTAAAAGTGTTCAGTCATGCTGTTGATGCATTAAGAGAGCTTAGCTATTACTTTTTTAGATATCTGTTTGGTGGTCAAAGTCTCCACATATTTGAACTCAGTAATTAAAAGAACATTATTAGCCATTACTTATCCAAATTTGGATATATTGGGTCTAGAGTACTTCGGACTCACCTTAAAAGTGCTAGTTGCCTTTGTTGGTGCTGAATTTGAGTTATTGGGCTGTGTGACACATTTCTTTGGTATTATTCAGTTCTACAAGTGCAGATAGCTTATATAGCAGTGTTGTCAAAGGCGCGCTTAAAGCGCGCTTAAGCCCTAAAGCGAGGCTCAAAATATGTTCAGCGCTTCGCCTCGCTTTGCGGGCGCTTTAGTGTCGTATCAAGGCTCTAAGGCAAACTTTTCCTTGCCAATGAGTGTAATCCTAAAAAGGCAACACTGAACAATTGATATTTCACTTTATCGTAAAAAAAATTTCAATTATTTTGTCCAAATATTTGTTATTCATGCTTATAATTATCGGTCTTGGACTACATATACATATTTTACTTTTCTCCAGTTGTGCCTTTTTTCATTAAAGCCCACACTTTATTTACGCTTTGCACTTAAAGCTCCAACGGGCCTTAGGGCTTTTTTGCGCTTTTCACCTTTGATAACACTGTTATATAGTCTTATAATAATGGTTAATCTTGGAGACTGGACTTGTTTTCATCTTCATATATTTTTGTTAATTTGAGCTTGGAGAAGTGGAAGTAGAATGAAGATTTATTCTAATGTTCCTGTGCTATTAGTTATCCTTTCAGGAAAAACTGTTAAATTACTGCTAGATTTTCTCATTGCTGAATGATCCTAACCTACATTGTGGTGTCAATATGGTTTTGCTAGCCCTGCTGGAGTATCTAAGCGAGGCCGTTCACCGCCACCATTATCTAAGAAAGCTTCTCCACCTCCAAGGTAATGGTGTTCTTTTACTCTGCGACCGAGCTACGGTTCGTTCATGCAATAACTACGTGCAAACCTCTTCCTATATTTAATGTTACATTCAGTTTCTTTTTTTTCTTTGGGATCCCTTTTTTCTCCTTGGTTTTGTCTTTCTCCTCCTCTTCCGAGTGAAAATAAACATGCTGAAAGTGGTTGGATAATGGTGAGACATTATTTATGAATAATTAGGGTAAAGAACACCGTATACATGTAGTATACCAAAAGAGAACCTAAAAAAATTTCTAGTTTTATACAAACGAGGATCTCATCACCAAAAACTACAAAATATTAGATGAGATATCCTAATCTCACAGGATCATATTCAGTAGCGTACGCAATTTTTTGCAAGTGATGTCACAAACCAGTGGAGAAAGATTAATACGCTTGTTATTCCTAATATCGACAATCACAAGAACTAAGTAATCAGGGATTATAATTAAACCTTTCAACCTAATTAACAATAACCCTTGTACTAGCACCTGCATTTCGTTACAATGATGGTGAATTGAAAAATGAATTAAAGAACAGTCACTTCCAAGTTCAAGCTATGTTAACCCGACAATTCCATTAACCTCCAAAATAAATCAAACACACCCAGCAAAAATACATTATAAATTAAACTATCATAATTATGTGGATTCATCATGAATTGGCAAGTTTACGCAGGCTGTTAGCCTACCGCAACCATTCTCTTTATTTGAGCTTGGGGCTGGCGTTGTGAGCAAACTCACAGTTATGGTCATGAATAAATAAAACAATAAAAACTTGAACACTTGAAGAATAAAATTATCTTCAAGCGGGTGTTAAAGAAACAGAATAGCTGGCAAAGTGAATTTAGTTCTAACCTGGTGGAAACAATAATAGGATCCTTCACGAGTTCTTTGGAAATTAGACAGCCATATTCGTTGAAGTATTTTATTAGTCCTATTCTTATTTACAAAAAAAAATGAAACTGCATGTAGCACTTCTGGCAGATGCCTTTATGCGCTTTTGTGATGTGTAACACTTGAGATATGATTCCAGGAAAGTCTCTCCAACTCCTGAGTCACGTGTGCTTCATGTGGATCAGCTCAGCAGGAATGTCAATGAAAACCATCTGAAAGAAATATTTGGTATGTTCAGCACTTCGTTCTGATTACTGAAGTGTTTGTTTGCCAGAATTGTTGAAATTCTAGTCTAAGCTAGGGCAATTACAACCCTTAGCATTGCAATCTGGCCAGAGTTCATTGAGTTAGGTTTACTGGTAAATAGACGGGTCAAGATGGGCTTAGCCTAAAATTTCTCTACATAAGTTTGGTCCTAATTTTTTATCCTTTTAAGTATCCACGAAAAAGCTAATGTCAATATGTTAGTCCTGGAAGAATTGGGGTAAAATATAGTTTATTCCTCCTTTTGGGGTAGTTTTTCTATGGAGACATAAAAAATCTGAGAAATGTTGAGGATGCATAATCCTTTCATCACAATGAAATGACAAGGCCAAGGTGATAATTTTCATTTTGTTTTGAGACATGTTTATTCCTTACAGGACAACAAATATTTTACATTTTGAAGCCATAAAGTACTACTCTAAAACTGGTTAAGAAGTTTGTTTCAAAGAAATGCATATCTGCTTTGGCCAATAAAGATGTCTAATATGCATCTCTTGGACCCTTAGTTTTCTAAAATAAAAGGGATATGAAGTTTTCCTACCTCAAATCATTGTTTATTTTGGTGTGTTTTTTAGTTTTTCCCAGAGAACTTTTTGGTGACAAGACTCCCAAGGAAACTAGTAGTTCTCACTTCTCAGTTCTTGTTTTTTTAAGTATCAGAATTGTGGTCAAGGATATGAATCTGTTTCGGGCAGTAAAAAATGGACTATCGTGCATATCAGAGATTCTTAAAAGCTAAGGAATATGATTTGTTAGTTGATTATGTTGGGTCAGTACAGTTTCTCCCAAGGAAAATTAATAGTTTTCAGTTCTTTGATTCTTAAGCATGGTATAATGTGTAAATTTCCTGCTTCTTCAGCTGGATTGCACTCGTTTAGGTTAACTTAAATTTGGATTGATAGCTCGTATTTATCAAGCTGCTAGTTTGCGCTTGGTTTGACACAAGTATTTGTATTGGGCATATGACCCATGACTAACCCTGCACAAAGATTTCCCGTCAGTGAGCAAGGGAATTTGGTCCACTATTGTATACCTGTTGTTACCCACTAAGTTTATCCAACTCGCTCAATTGCCACCCATAGCCAACCCTTTACTTATAGATGTTACTTGTTCTGCTCCTTAAGCAGTTATATGCCATACGTTCTGGTCTGACCCTGTTATTGCAAATTATGAGTAATCGTTTAAGGGAACAGAGAAATTCATATAAGTGTTACTTTGGAAGCCAGGGTGTGCTTGTGTACCTTCATAATGACTCTTCTTATTCTCACTCATTTGGTTTTCCAGCAGTAACTTTTGTTGGTAAGACATCGACATGTGTGTATGGTGTGCTAGTTCCAGTGTATACGTCATGCGATGAGTTCAAGTAAAATAAATAAATATGGGCATATAAAAGAATGAAAAAGACTTGCTCCGAAAATAGTATCTCCAGGTTTACAGCAAATGTTGACTGGATTCCATCCATTATTTGATTTAAATACAAAGATAAGTTGCTGTCGCTCTGTCCAGCTCATGATCTTCATGGTGGTTAATGTCTATAACTTTTCTTTTCTGCAGGTAATTTTGGTGAAATCCTGCACGTGCAGTTGGTCATTGATCATGTTGTAAGTTAACAAGTCACATATTCTTTAGACGGTGTGAGCTCTAGAATTTTTGCTTCTTTTCCCCCCCTAATATTATAGGAATAAACTTTTTGCAGGTTAACCTTCCAAAAGGGTTTGCTTATGTTGAGTTCAAGACTAGAATTGATGCTGAGAAAGCCCAACTACACATGGATGGTGTATGGTTTTAAGATTTGCATGTCCACTCAGTAACTGCATCCCACCATTTTCGTTTTTGAGACGGGGAATTAACTAATATGCTTTGTTGGTGTTAATGCAGGCACAGATTGATGGGAAAATAGTTCATGCCAAGTTCACCCTGCCAGAGCGGAAAAAGGCACCCTCACCTCCAAGGGCTGCTGCAACTTCCTCAAGGAGAGATGCTCCTAGAACTGATAATGCCCCTGTTGATTTGGAGAAAGATGGACCGAAACGGCAACAAGAGTGTATGATATCCTTGCTATATTAGGGATTGTTTATTGGCTGGCTCTATGATGCATTATTTAATCTGGTTTATTTTGATATAATCAGTATCTCCTCGTCGAAAACCTGTCTCTCCACCTCGAAGGTCTCCTATAGGACGAAGAGGATCTCCTAGACGTGAGCCAGATTCTCCTGCCCGTCGGCGTGCTGAGTCTCCTATTCGTCGTCGCGCAGGTTCTCCTTATAGGCGCGGCAGTCCACCGGCCCCAAGGAGGAGGCCTGTATCTCCCGTTAGACGACGTTCACCATCCTCTCCACCAAGACGTTACCGAACACCTCCTAGGTTGGGTATTTCACATTTGCTTTTGAATTTTTGGAATTTTGATCTGGACCTTTACTAATTAAAGTATTAAGCAGGGGCTCTCCCAGAAGAATTCGTGGCAGTCCTGTTCGAAGACGTTCTCCCCTTCCGCCAAGGCGACGGTGAGTTAGTGTTTTGATTGCATGAGCTTGAATAGTTGAAGTAAGTGATGAATAAATATCTTCTCCCTCACTCCATATCTAGAAAGGCCATTTAAAGATTTGCTTAAATGATGATAAACATGATGCTACATGCTTCAAAGCAGTTCTTTATATTGTTAAACCTTAGTTACTTATAAAAATTTTTAGTAAACCTGTGTGGCAGCGTAGATATGTGTGACATATTTAAAATGATGTCGAATAGTTGATTCTGCCATCAGTAACTGTCAAACTAGTATTTTCCCATTATGAGTGGCAGTTGCCTTTCTTCGTTGTAGTAGTAGTACTTGTTATATTAAAAATATAGTGAATTGTAGCCTGAACAATGTAAATACAGATTTGTGCTGTGTTAACTAATGTTGATAACTGAAAGTGGTAGCTCATGGTACCTTTGTGTTTGTTTGTAGTTCTCCACCGCGACGTGCTAGAAGTCCACCCAGAAGATCTCCGGTTGGTCGCCGGTCTAGCCGCTCACCTATTAGGAGACCTATCCGTTCACGATCAAGATCCATCTCTCCTAGGCGGTAATGCGTAAATTTTATCATCTTTATCACTTAAATTTCTGATATTGAGTTATAGCAAATTCTTTTCTGGTGTCTTGAATAGGTGGTCTGCTTCTATACTTGTGGTCTGTAGTTTTTCTCTTTATGCCCGCCTTCCTCATTTTAAAATTAATATACTTTGGCACTTTCTATGTGGCATGTTCTAATGCCTACTTTTTTTCTCTTGGGTGCATCTTATCTCCTCCACAATATTGTCAGAGAACATAATTTTTGTTACATTTCTGAAAGAATTCATTTCTTGTTTATATGAAAAATGTTATTTATTTGTGATTACTTCATGTAATAGGGGAAGGGGTCCAGCCGCAAGACGTGGGAGGTCATCATCCTACTCTTCTTCTCCCAGTCCTCGAAAGGTCTTGTGTCTGAGACTCTATTTAACAATCTTATCCATGAGATCATCTGATTTTTTCTTGGGTCAGCCTATTGATTGTTTGATGTGGATATAATCTGTTGATTATTTCAGGCACCCCGCAAGATTTCAAGGAGTCGCAGTCCTAGAAAGTGAGTTCCTTGTAATTTGTTGCTTACAATTGGATCATCTTATGTGCTTGTCATTGTTTTGGATTTTTGATTCTTGCTTTATTCATACATACGGTAGGTTTTTCCTTACAATTACGGAAAGCTAAACTCAAACTTATACACTGGGTAGACAGTTGCAAATTTGAATACGGGAACGCTTGAAATACCTGAAAAGCACTGAGAATTGTCTTATTGTTATTGGTTATGATGTTTCAGTACTTCATCAAATGCAGGCCTTTAAGAGGGAGGAGCCCCAGCAACAGTGACAGCAGCAGTTCGCCTCGTAAGCCCTAGGTTGTTGCTCTTGCAAGGAATCTATCTTAATGGATGATTTTTCTGATCTTATTCTGCTGGAGAAGAAGTCAATTAGGATACCCTTCATTTCACTTGATGATTTGATGTGAACGTATGAATGTGAATTCTTATAATGGTTGTACACTATTGTCCAAATCCCCTTTTGCTTTACCTTATCAGAGGAAAAAACTATTGTGCAAATCCACTTTATTTTTGGTTAGTTGCACCACCCAACAGTGAACTTATAAATGAAAAAGGAGGAAATGAACATCAGAAGATAAATCTTGCTCGTTTAGTCAATGTGAACTCTTGCCTTAAATTCATAGCTAGTGGCATTAACTTAAAGTGATAATTGTTCATCATCGTCGAACCAAATAATCCCATTTAACAATATCTTGCAAATCTTCCCTTAGATTCGTATTCCTTATCTGTATCTTCGTTCATCTTCAATAAAGCTACTCTGAATTTCTGTCAAGAGGTCTTGGAAAATTGGGAGTGTATTTATGAGCGTGACAATATCTTATATGGCGCTTCTATTCGATATCAAGACATAACAACTATGTCTCAGTCTCAATCCAATGACAAATTGGCTATGTGAATCATATGTATTCATTCAACTCCATTTGAATTCATTTCATCTCAATTCTCGATAATCTTAGATTCTCTTGTACAACATTGCCTTGCCTTTCCTACATCTGAGAATTATTTCATTGCAAGCAAAGACTGACATTACGCAATTGGAAGTGTAAGTTAGTCAACCATTGAGTTACGTATAGGATTAAGTCCCTTAACAATTGCGATGCATCAAATTCTTTTCTCAACTCCTTACTTATCCTGATGCGGAAAACAAGTTAAAACTCACAACTATACTCTTTATGCATGAAAATAGGAATTAGCTAAATTAATACTACTAAATAAGCAACTTCAGTTTAGTATATGATCAGTGAAGTACCGTGACATACAAAGTCCAGTAATGTCCATGAGTTGAGTTTCTGAATCTCCAGATGCAATTCTTCCATAATGCACCTCAGTCATATCTCGTATATTTGTCTTTTATGACAAAACCAAATAAAACTGGGATTGTTACATAAATAGTCGGTCAGATTTAACATTCGGTATATATAAATTATACATTCATTATAAACAGTTATACATATATCATACATCTACTAGCTATTATTAGTTTAAGTCTATTATTAGTTTAAGTGGGCCACTATTTGGGTTAAATCTTCAATAAAAATCTCAAACTGTAGTCTGTTCTGCTCTTTTTTAAAGTGGTTATTTAAGATGTTGCTGGTTTCTTGATATCGAAGAAGCAATACTCAAGAATATCATATCACACCCAATGGCATCAATTTGTGGGCTAGAAAATGTAGTGGCAATGATAAAAAAACCGTAAAAATTGCACGGGCGCCCTATTTGGTCGCCCCCATTTAACCTATACCCATTTTTTTAAAATTTTTTAACTTGTACCCTTTTTAAATAACTTCAGTCCCTTTTCTCCTCCTCTTTCTCCTCCTTCTTTTTGTTCTTCTTCTTCTTCTTCTTCTTCTTCTTCTTCTTCTTCTTTCTTCTGTTGCTGTTGGTGCTGCTATGGAACTTCAGTTCATGGGATGATTGCCATAAATATGTTTATCAGATTGTTTAAAAACAAATTATAAATAAATTATTTAAAGCGGCACCTAGATGATTAACTGAACAACCCTTAATTAGTTCTGTGAGAGAAAAAGAAATGAGCTGAACCTGAACTTCAAGTCTCTTTCAACTATGGAAGTTCCTTCCTCATCACTGTTTCTTGGATCCTTTTTCCCCTCAAAATTTGATTTGTGAAAAATCCTAATAGTTACTTCATATTGTTATCTTTGAAATGAAGTAAGAGAAACATTCAAATGTGTTGTTGCCCTGTTTGCAGGGTCCGTACTTGGTGCCTGTGCGTGTATTGTATCCAATGTCGTGTTTTTGTAAGCAAATGTAGACTAGTGATGAACTAAATAACTTAGCTCTAGAGCTGAAGTTCGCCAGTTACAAAAACAAAGACTTCAGCTCTAGAGTTGAAGTTCGCCAGTTACAAAACAAAAACTTCAGCACACTTGCTACTTCAGGCCCGTCTACTAGAATGCTGAAGTTTTGCGTGATTGTCTTTGCTACTTCAGCCCCGTATGCTGAAGTTATGCGAAAAAGCGGGTACGCTTGCAATTTTTTTTGCAAAGCAGGCACAAGTTAAAACGTGACACAAAAAGCGGGTATAGATGCAAATGCCCCTAAAAAACCGAGTCATTATACTAAAGGCTTCACAAAGAGAACCTATATGTGTGAAGCCTTCACGCCATTTGCAACTTTAGCCACGACCTATGTTGCACGGACTCTCCAAAATGCTGCCGCACCGCTGTCGGTTTTTCCGAAAATACACTAATTTTGGAGGATCCGACACACACCCGGCGATATTTTCAGGGAGTCCAAGGACTACAAACTGCATTATTCATTAAACTACAAACTACTCTTTTCTCTTTCTTTTGAGGATGGGAGAGATCACAATAAAGAACCTTTGTAGTAGCAAAATAAGACTATCCTTTAACATATAATTGACGTTGAAAATAAGTGTGTAAAGTTAAGATTGTTAAACTAGACCTTCTTTATTGTTAAAAATCCTTGAATACAGAACAACAAATTTGAGATTGTTAAACAAGACCTATTTTGTGCTTGAGTATGGAACATAGGCTACATTTTGCAAATTCGGTGGTAAGCAGAGAGAGATGAAATTTTCAATTTGAGAGATTTTATCACTAGTTCTAAACAAATTGGTCTTTAAAATACCAAATAGTTTCTCCCCATCTCAAAAAGAATGATGGATTATGAAGGGTCAAAATATCTTATTTTGTGTACGGTTTAGGACACAAGATTCCTCCATTCTTTTGAAAAAAATTACATAAGTTGGATCACAATTTTATATACAGAACATTTTTTAAAAAATGTGCTAGTATATGACTCCAAAAATAGTAAGTGTTATATAAAGGAAGACAAATGTAGTACAGTCAAATCACTCTATAACAACTTTATTTATTCCGGATTTTTTTTGGCTATTATAGCAAAAGGGAGAAATTTAAAAATAGCCAGATTTACAACTGGTCGTTCAAAAATAGCCCAATTTCAAAAGTAATCGAAATTTAGCCACTTTTTATGTAAAGATAAAACTGTTCAAAACCTGGAAAATACTCCAACATGATATGATGGAGTTCCAGCATAAGTACACTAGAACTCCAGCATAATATACTGGAGTTCCAGCAAGTATATTTGTCCAGTATAATATACTGGAGTTCATACACAAGTGTACCGAACTCCAGTATATTATGCTGGACCGGTCTCTGTTGCCGCAAAACGGTGGCTATTTTTCATTGACTTGGTAAACGCTGGCTATTTTTGATTGACCAGTCCGAAAATTGGCTATACCGTGCTATTTTTACCAAAATGTTGTTATAGAGAACATATATTGTACCATATCATAAAGGTTGGTTCCATAAAAACTTGGATTTTATAGTTAATGGTTGACTGTATAATCATTATAAATGCGGAAAATACAACTTGAGTAACAGCTCAAACCATATGCAATGCAATTCTAACAAAATGTTTGGCAAAGCTTATCTCAGAGTCAGCTGAAAGCAAACATTTTATATTGATGATCGAGACCATGATATAATACGTCCAGGAGATGAAATTTTATTTTAAGAATGATTCATTTTAGGCCAACATAAAATTCCAAGAAAACGTTTTAGGCCAACATAAAATTCCAAGGAAACGTTTTAGGCCAATATTTTATAACGAGCGAGATCATGATATAGTACGTCCCAGGCATGAATTCCGAGTGTATTACTATTATCAGTGTTTTAAAAGGCGAAGATATTTTAATTTTAATTTTAAAAAGTAAAATAGTATATGTAATAGTCTTAGAATTGAGTTCAAAAGGGAAAAGAAAATCGAGGAATTGGGGAATTTTATTAATGTATAACAATAGTACAATTGTTTGAGAATTCAACAATCGATTACAACGTAGAACCTATAATTGACAGCTGGTAATATTCAAGCTCCGTTAACACCTGTAATGGAGGATGAGGGTTTCAGAATCGAGAGAAGAGAGTTGAAGAAGAAGAAGAGAAGAAGAAGAGAGGGAGGAGAGAGAGTGAAAGGAATTTACCAAATTTCTAACTAACTTCTCCTTCCGTTGGAATCTGTTGAAATAGCCCAACTAATTGTAACCTCCGCCTGACAGCCGACTGATTATGATTTCTGAGATTAAATCTGCACCCTTCTTTGTCTACAAGTGGCTATGCACGTGCCTCACTTATTAGGCTGTTGTTCTCCACGTGACTTTATTTATTCCGACCATCCCTTAGTATATAGACTAACCCTAATTCCTCTTTCTAATTTCAATCAACCCATAATTTCTCTCTTCAGCTCACACATTACACTACCCTTCCCTTCCAAATTGACCTTGTACTCAAGGTCGTAATTGAGCGACAAAGTCAGGAAATTGGCTCTGTATGTAACCCTAGTCTTCCCATGTGGTCTCATCTCGCCCCAAATTTGTCCACTGAACCAGTACCTTCACGGCGGCTGCGTTGTTTACTTTGAAAATCTTTCGTTGCAAGATGGCTAAAGGCTGGACTAACACTCGACCACCCTCGTCATAGAGTGGATGCTGCTGTTGGGGAAGCACTGTTGGGCCAACTCTTTTCTTCATTTACGATATATGGAAGACAAGATGAACTTACGATCCTGGAGGAAGCTCTAAGCGGTAAGCGACTGAACCTATCTTCTGTAGGACCTTGTAAGGTCCATGAAATTTGGCACTAAGCTTTAAGTTTCTTCGAACAGCTACTGAAGCTTGTCGGTATGGTTGTAACTTCAAATAGACCCAATCACCTTCTTGAAGGTTTCTATCTGTTATGTTTTTATCTGCACAAAATTTCATATGAGCTCGAGCCTGCTGCAAACTTTCTTTCAAGAACTGCAACATGTTCTGCCTCTGAGCTATACACTGACCCACTAGAGTGTGAGTTGGGTGGGTATGGAGCCTAGTGGCACTTGTGAAGGGGAAAACCCATACAAAGCCTCAAATGGAGTGGACTTGAGAGAGATATGGTGGTTGGTATTACACCACCATTCTGCTAGAGGCGGCCACTTCATCCACCGTTTGGGATTTGAGAAAACCAGAGCCCTGAGATA